GGGAAGGGTCGAGTCCCGTCCCGAAATGCCGGACCCTTCGTTTAGAGAAGAGGACGGCGAAAAAAGGGAGTCTCTTCCCGATCGAGTTCAACGGGCGCGAGATATCGGCGCTCCCTTTCTTTATCTATTTTCTCTTTTCCTTTCGAACTGCAGGAGGGTACCGTCAATGCCTCTCGTTCAGGGGGAAGAAAAAAAAAAAAAAAATATGCGCGCCCATTAAATCGGCAATCGCGAGTAATCTGAGCACTCCGGTCCGTCCTCAAAGCTTCCATTCACGGAGAGACTCGAGACTAGAGTCACGGGATAAAGGGCGACGAAGGGCCCGCCGTGTCTCCTTGCAAATGAATTCTTCCTTTTCCCCCCCTTTTTCGCTTAACAAACGTCACTAGTCCAGGGTCGATGACCACAGTTTCGATACCTTATCAAGGATTAATAATTCTTTATTAATCCTTTAACGCCCGGGGGCGAGCTCACTCAGTTCTTAGTTCTCTTAATTCTTAAGGGGATGTGAAAGTGGCATCCGAAAGCTCAATAGTTCATAAAACTTTCCTACAAACTGGGTGTCTCAAATCGTTTCATAATTTAAAACGTGAATACGGAGACCCTAAGGTAGGTCCTGAAACTCGGGAAATTTCATTTTTTATAAACTATTCTTAAAATACCTATCAAGAAATTTCAAAAGAATTGAAATTTCATGAGTTTCAGGACCTTCCTTACAGTCTCCCCACTCACGTTGTGAAGTTTCAAATTATTCGATAAATCGAGTTGGGAACAAAATTTTATAAACAAAACCTCTTCGACGCCACTTTCACATCACCTTAAATCGTTCTCTTACTTTAAGAGAGAGAAGAAAAGAGAAGAAAAAAAAAACGGGTTAAATTAAATCGCACATGTACCGTAATACCATCTTGGGCCCTAAATTATACGCAATCCGTGGGCTATACCAAAATCCCTCCACCTGGTCCGAGCGCGACATTTTTACGCGGGGCGTTCCGGGTGGAAAAAAACCATTCTCTCCTTTTTTTTTCTCTCTCCTTTCAAATCGTGAGAAAAAAAAAAAAAATGCGACTGGCCATGAAGATCGGTCGAAAGGGCCGGATTAAGAGATCGTCTTCAGGGGGTGTGTCGGCGATCGGCAACGAGTTCCCGGATCGTAAAACGTCGAGGCAGAGCCGAGGTTCATCGGCTCGTAAAAAAAGGGGCGCAGGTGGGGCGCTCGAGGTCTTTCGGACCTGTCCAGGACCTGTCCAGGACCGGTAGGAAAGGAACAGAGGCGGTGGGACGTGCATACATCCCGGTATATCATACATACGCGCGTGTAATAAGCTCTCGAAAGGCGGACCGGTTCGAATCGACGTAGCGATTTCGAGTCGTTCGAAGGTGCGACCCATACCACGCGGTGCAACCTCCCTCCCCCGCTTCCACATTTTATTGACCCCTCCCAAGGCAAGACAAGTTAAAAAAAAATATATCTTGCAGCTCCACAGACCCCCACGGTGATCTACGATTTTCCTGGACGACGTCGTCGAGTCGCTCTCCCCGGGAATAAAATTAATTCCCCTCCCGGAAAGTGTCGCGATCGCGCCAGGATCTTCTAAAAGCTTGGAGGCCCGCGAGGCGTAGGTCTTAAAATTCAATAAAAAAATTCGAAAGAAGAAAAAAAGGAGGAAAAAAAAACTATGGAACGACGCATCACTTCTCAAGATACGGCGAGCAGTGGTGGATATTAATTGAGAGGGTAAAAAATCATATTACGACGTAAAAGTGATCATTCTCTCCGTGGATCTAATTATTCCATGCTTGGCAATCAGAGGGGCCACTTCGCCGGTTCGATCCCTCCCCTGTTATATGACTCGTTGGCCTTTCGTCCCATTCGGCCTCGGGTCTGGTCGGGACACAGGGGTAAAGCCCGAAATCCAAAGGGGCCGAGAACACGCCAGGGCAATCCGGAGATCGCATCGCGAGTTCGCCTCGAGACCGCGTGTCACGCTCCTCGGTGGAATTCTACGATAAATCAGGACAAACCGCCGAACGAAATAAGCCCGAGGCTTATCCGCTTATCAATTCCCCGGGACCTCCTCTGCCGACGGAGAAATTCTTGCGAAAATGGAAATTAAAGAAAGAGGTAAGGCCAACGAAATCCCGGTTATTTCATGCAAATTGGGATATATCGAACGTAACTGACGAACCGCTAAACGAACAAATTGAATAATGATAAGATCCCTAGGTAACTCCCCGCGATAAGAAATCCTCGCAAGAAAGGACATAACGAGTGAGTCCGTACCATTTTTGTATTTACATTCTCGACCGCACCGGAAAAAAAAATAAAATGAAAAAGATGCAATGATAACAGCTTGCAACCATTTTTTCCGGGTTAAACTGGAACTCGATTTTCTTTTTTTTTTTTTCCTCCCGGCGGATGCGAGGGTTCTGCATAAGTACGGGGCCGGTTTCTCGAGTGGTGTAACTACTTCTAGGGAACTGCGATCCGCAATACGGGAGGGGGGGGGGGGGGGGTAATTACGAGCCGACTTAACCGACGTGTTCGGGCCGCCTTGTCGTTCGTGCGGCCGCGAAGGAATCCCGCGTGTCGTCCCGGCCGGCAATCGCCGTTTCCGCCGCGGCTATCGATCCCGCACGCGGAAAGCCCGCGGACCGCACGCCGTTAAGGCCTCCGTCCAATGGCAATGGCCGAGTAAATTCGCCCCGTAATCCCACCGAAATCCTGACCCAAAATCCCGCAGGACCCGCCGACATGCCATTTTGCGTCTCTCTGGAGCGACGGGAAGAAAAAAGAAGAAGAAAAAAAAAGAAAAAATATGAAGGTAAGATCGCCGATCAAGTCAAGGGGATGCAAACCCTCTATGTTCGCACGTAATCGCAATCGATGCCAATCCAGGGTGCAATTAAATGTCCAGCACATACTCCAAGGTAAACGTTAAAAAAAATAAAAAATCGAAAGCTAACGCGAATTAGACCGACTAAGACAAGGGGATGCAAGCCGATGATATTCGCACGTAATCGCAATCGATGCCAATCCAAGGTGCAATTAAATGTCCAGCATATATACAAAGCAAACGTTAAAAAAAAAAAGTCGAAAGCTAACGCGAATTAGACCGACTAAGACAAGGGGATGCAAGCCCCTGATATTCGCACGTAATCGCAGTCAATGTCAACCCAGGGTGCAATTAAATGTCCAGTACATACTCCAAGGTAAACGTTACAAAAAAAAGAAAAAAGTCGAAAGCTAACGCGAATTAGACCGACCAAGACAAGGGGATAAAAGCCCCTGATATTCGCACGTAATCGCAAGGTGCAATTAAAGGGCCAGCACATACTCCAAGATAAACGTTAAAAAAAAAGAGAAAATCGAAAGCTAACGCGAATTAGACTGACCAAGATAAGGGGATGCAAGCACCCTATATTCGCACGTAATCGCAATCGATGCCAATCCGGGGTGCAATTAAATGTCCAGCACATATACAAAGCAAACGTTAAAAAAAAAAAAAGTCGAAAGCTAACGCGAATTAGACCGACCAAGATAAGGGGATAAAAGCCCCTGATATTCGCACGTAATCGCAAGGTGCAATTAAAGGGCCAGCACATACTCCAAGGTAAACGTTAAAAAAAAAGAAAAAATCGAAAGCTAACGCGAATTAGACCGACCAAGATAAGGGGATGCAAGCATCCTATATTCGCACGTAATCGCAATCGATGCCAATCCAGGGTGCAATTAAATGTCCAGCACATATACAAAGCAAACGTTAAAAAAAAAAAGTCGAAAGCTAACGCGAATTAGACCGACCAAGACAAGGGGATGCAAGCCGCTGATATTCGCACGTAATCGCAATCGATGCCAATCCAAGGTGCAATTAAAGGGCCAGCACATGCTACAAGGTAAACCCGAGCTAGCTGCAACATATCTTCGGCCAACGAGGCCCTTATCTCGTGAAACAGACATTCAAGGTGAACAAGATCAATGGGAGATCCCTTCGGGTGGTTTTGCAGATGACGATTCAACGCACAAAATGAAAATGATCAAATCAAATCGGAGGAAACAAATGATGACAATTGGGTAATAACGACCTGGCCTAATCTTCCCAACGAGGAGTTTATTTAAATTAAGATATTAAAGGGAAAGAAAAAAAAAAAAAGAAAAGCGACGACTATTTTTCCTACTTCATAAGAAATCTTCCAGGTGCTGTTTTAAATATACGATCCAAGTGATACCAGGAGTTAATATTTAAAATATGGTCGTTATCAAGTTTTTAGAACGAAGTCTGCATTTTAAAACTGTACATACCATGGACGTAATGGGAGTTATTAGACCGTTTATTTGGGGATGTTTATTGGACTTCAAAGAGACGTGGCAAAAACTGAAATGCCGAAAATCTTGGTAACCTTCTGAAGAACCGGATCCTCATTTTTTAGGGCGAGGTCGAAGGTGATAAGGTCATGGATTAAAACTACTCGTAGGGTCACGGGAAGAGTGGTGGAGAACGTGTCCAAGGTTAACTCGTCGAAGTCACTGGCCTCTACGTCTGCGAAGACCCCTGCCACCTCCTCTTCGGAGACATCGAGGCGGAATCGAATGTACTCCACAAAGTGGAAAATAAAAAGGATCGATCAAAAGTGAAAGGATCCCGCGTGCTCCATTTTTCTTTTCAAACGTACGTAACGAAGTATGCCGTGAGTCGAGCTAAGGTACGAATCTTTTTCGAAATTCAACGGTCTACCACGCAAGGAAAATCCGGAAAGAAAATCGGTCGGAATTAAAAAAAAACAAATCTGTATTTACAGTCAATTTGCGAAGCACGATCTTGCTAGAGGCACGTTGAATATTTATGCATTGAGGCATTCCGAAAATATTCGAGAGTTATTTTTCAAGCTAAGGAAGTTCCGGCGTTCTCGAGGGAGGAATAAATGGGAATAAATTGGGAATAAATTGGAAAGAAATGGGAATAAACGAGAATTGAAAATCCTGGAAAAAAGGGACTCACCGTATTCCGTGACCAGGCGTCGGGGCGCTCCTTAATAAATCCCCGCGAGGGCCGTGTCACTCTCTCTCTCGACTCCCCGGCGGCACTGGTCGGCACCCGCACTGCACCGGCGAGACGCTCGCCTCGTGGAGGGCCGCGGCGCGGGTCGCGAGGTGCGTGGGCCGCGCAACGGAAAGGAAAAAAAAAAAAGAACAAGAGGAACCCGCCCGGACGGACGACGCACCGAGCCGGACGTTGGCGAGCCTCTCCCGAGAAACGCAAGACGCGTACCGAGCCGAACGACAGTATGGCGCCCGGCAGCCTTCCTGCCGAGAGACTCGCTCCGAACCGCCGCCGCGCCTCCACTCACCTCTCTTTGTCCCCACCCTGCCCCCACCGCGCACCCGGCGTCTATCGGGAGGGGAGGGGCGCGCGCGGGGCCACTGGAGCGGCACTGTGATTGGTCGAGAAGACTAGCTTTCCGTTGGAGCCGCGTCGCTAGTGGCGCGGAGACCCAGTGGCCAGGCGATAGGGACTGCTCGTAAATTCACGGTAAAGCAAAGAGGGGCGCGCAGGGGGGGAGTACGCAGGTTCCCGCAGGGATGCGGGCACTGTCCGTCTTCGTCGCTCTTTCGAGAAGCGTGGGAGTGAGAGAGAGGGGACGGTCTCTCGGACGGAGTGGGGAGGGAACCGAATGCGGCAGGGGAGAGACAAAGGGCCGAATGACCTTCCCTTGGTAGCACCGACAGGACAGGACACGTTTTCGATGTGTTGCTCGTACGTGTGGACGGTCTGGAATATATTTCCAATGTTTTCTGGCTCTACGCGCTGAATTTACACTCGAAACCTCCCCCGATTTGTTTCAAGGACTTGGAACTGCGAGCTTTGGGCGTGTATCATGATACGTATGTTATTTAAAAATATTTGTAAGTAAAATTGGGGGATACTCCGAATTTTCGGACAGGTCCAGGGCCTTGACTTGAGTATGATTTTTCTTGCGAATCGAGTTTGGAGATGTATTTCCAATGTCGGTACTTAAATTATGGGTCCGGGGATTCAATCGGGTATTTCGTAGCCGGTTGGATCGGCATTCGCGGTTTATGGCTTCTCTCGGCTTCGGGAAATTCGTATCTCGGCCACGCCCGCGTGCTTTCATCGCATACCTCGATATCCGAACCCTGACATCGAAGGCGTCCCTACGAATCCGACGGAAATTTGGCGGAAATTCGTCCGTCTATAGAGGCGGGTGGAGTGGGAAATACTTTTAGAACGGTTTGAACAGAAGCCGGCGAGAGGAGTCTCGACTCGCTTCGCGCCTCCGCTCTCCTCCCCTTGGTTGCCCCACCTCGAGGCAGCGGCTGGCGAGTTTCCCCCGGCAGCCGAGGGGAGCGCCGCGAGCGCTGATTGGCTATTCCGTTGTAACCGCGCTCTCCGATTGGCCCCGCGAACTCGGCCCGCATCCGCCGACTTTCCCCTAGATCCCGAGCGTCGACGCGACTCGATCGCGAGCGCCCTCGAATTTATGGCGCCATATTGGATCTTCGAGCTCAGACTTCTTCGCGAAACGAAATAAAACGACTTAAAAGGTGGTTTTGCTTATCCCACTTCCTGTATATTCGAGTGAGTAAGCGTTTACCCTGATTCTAGGTGAATCAAGAGGAAGCCTTTGCAGAAAAGTATCTTATCGCAACTGAGGAAGCGGTGCCAAGTTCGAAGGAGGAGAGAGAGGGGAAGATGCTCCCGACCTCGAGAGGGAGAAGGAACGTAAATGTTTATTCCGTACATCTGGATACGTGCAAGCCGGCCTTTGTGTCGAACGACCCCGCCTGATAAATCTGCTCGTTTTTGCCGGAAGTAAAATATGCTACGAGAAGACAGGGAGACCATCTAAGGTCCCTTCTCATATTAAATATATTCCATATCGTAAACAGCCTCCTCACGCCTAGGAATATTCACAATTAATTATATTAACGCAATTATATTATTTATTATTCGACCGATTTCCTCGTTATCAATCGATACATATTCTGTTAACGCTTACACTGAGAAAAATGTACAATTGGAGGCGAATATATTTTAGTCGTATATGAGCCTAGTAGACATACTTATTTCCAAAATTTTTTTCGTTTAGGTGAAAGTGTTACACTTTGTAATTCCCGTATAGAAATAATTATTTCAACCATTGAAAACATCACTTTAGTCGACTATCCGATTTTTAAATAGGCACATATGTGATTTCAAGTAGCTCATTTTTCTCAGGGTAGGGTGTCTATTTACGAGTCATGTAGGTATGACTTTAGCTGTCACCCGTAATTGGTAATTCCCGAGCGATGTACACGGTACATAACCCTTGCACTTAATCCGATTTCAAATAATGTGGCGTCTTCTTTAGGGCCTACGAAGACCCTGATGGCGTCGCCGCGTTATTTAGCAATCGGCGCCTCACCACGACGACGTCTCTCCTTAAATTAATATCGCTTAAGTCGGCGGTAATTGGTTCGTTAGTAGTAAGTCGATTGTCGGTCGCGACCTGTAATCGTTATCGACCGGTCGCCGTTGGCGAGGTACTTATCACTTCCCTCCTGCAAGAGCCCCAAATCGCTTCCGGAGGCTTCGAACTCTTCGACGCGGTGTGACACGAAATTACCCATTGTCTCCGATAAAAAAAAAAATTATACCGCGAACATACAATTATCTGTCCGGTCTCTTTTCATCGGAGGAGCGACTAAACAATGACGATATCCCGCCGCTTTCAACTTTGTCGTTTTCTTTATCATTTTTCCTGCGACTTCGTACATTTTACTGCGTTCTTTTGCGTCTCACTACTTTTACAGATTTGAAGATATTCCCAGAATATTATCGGTGTATGTCTTCTTATATTGTTAAATTGTTATCCTTCCAATGTGGTTACGCAGAGAAGTTACGGTGAATTATCGAAAACTCGCTGGAAAAATCTCCACCTCGTGTAATTTGGGGAAGGACTTTTTTTTTTAGAGAGAATTTACATTGCGTTATGTAATTAGCTTCGATATGAAGATTATGGATTAATTAAAACTGGGAATCGTTCGAGTCCACATTGGGAGACGAGGAATATTTTCAAAGAAAATTCATATTTCCTGTCTTGAAATGTAACTCTTTCTGAGGGATTGGATCTTATCACCGAGACGGCTGAACGTTAAACATCCGTTTTGCAATCCTGAAATAAACCCTTGGGAGGGTGCGAAAAGTGGGAATTAACTCTGACGGACATTTCCCGGTGGCGTTCAATTGTTACGAGAAATAACGGAAATATTGCCTGCGAGAGGCCCGAATTACGTTCTCTGGGAATTATGGAGGGTATATTAAGGCCCATTTGTCGCACGACGGGAATAATTATTCCGCGTACGCTTTTACTTACCGAGCCGTATGTGGGCGCGATTCGAGCATTATGCGCCGAGCATTACGAGGTCTTAGCAAAGTCAGTGAACTTTCATGAAAGTCGTCAATGAGAGAGAACTCCATTAAGAGGATGAAATATCCGGCTCGGTCGCCTTCTCATCATCTCTCCCCTCTTCTACCCTAGAAGCAGAGTAATCACTTTTGACATTGACCCGGATCGATCCGTGAATTTCCTGGATGTTAAACCCGTGACTAAAGAGAATGAAATTATATTTTGTCAATTGTAATCCAGTTTCCCTGAAACGTAAGAGGGACGTATTAGAAAATTGCTCTAAAAGGAATACCTAATGGCCCGCTTCAAAAGGAGGGCTTTCATCTCCGCAGAAAATGAGGAAGAGCGACTTTAATTTCAATTCGATGTACCAGCCGCTGTGTAATTAAGTATAAAGCAGGATTTGCATTATTTACCCGGGATCCCGGAGCTCTCCCGTGGGAGTGGAGACTCCTCGCCAAGCTTGATCGTAAAATCGACCCTACGTGGAGGATTAATGAACCGTAGTATTAGAATTTTCCAACAACTGATGGAATTATAAGTTTATTATCACGGAGATAGGAAGGTGCGATCAATCGTCCACGATAAGCCCCCGCTTGGCGGACCATTTATAACCCGGGTCCATTCGCGGGAAGGTTTGGTCATTTCATTTAGACAAGGAGTAAAGGGTTAACAGAGTCACATAGTAATCAAGAGTCGCATGGTAATCGCGAAAATAACGAATTACTCGCGGCTAATGGAACCAATGTCGATCCGATTATCTCAAGGTAAAGGCCGCGACTTAACTCGCTGCACTTTGCATTGTGATTTCTTTTCCCTCGAGGACAAGAGGGATGGACCAAGGTTCCCGAACCGCCGATTCGATTACGTCTGATCATCGTGTGACCGTCATGTATCATCGAAGATTATGTCACGTCCAGGAGATGATAACCCTGCGTGGCCATGACCGACTGCAGCCTCAAGATTGCAGACACAAACTTCCGGTACGCAATTAGTGCAATCGCAGGAGGACGTGGCCTAAGTTTCGAGAATGAATGACGAGATTAATGATAATTTTACGAGCCGCGAAAACGGAAATACCACCGCTATCAATTGTAATTACAAGAACGGTCTATATACTGAGGGGAAAAAAATTCCATTGAACCGGAGAAATATTTCTTTGAACAGGGGGTTCTTGGTGAGTCGCTTAAACGCGGTTTTTTCAAAGAAATAAAATAATAATAATGATAACATAATAATAATAACGAGAACTGTCTGTATGCTGAGGGGAAAAAAAATTCCATTGAACNATATCATAATAATAATGATAATATAATAATAATAATGAGAACGGTTTGTATATTGAAGGAAAAAAAATTCCATTGAACCGGAGAAATATTTCTTTGAACGGGGGGTTCTTGATGAGTCGCTTAAACGAGGTTTTTCAAAGAAATGCGTATCCGAATGAAATGTATGACTGCTATCAATGGTAATAACGAGAACGGTTTGTACATTAAGGGGAAAAAAATTCCATTGAACCGGAGAAATATTTCTTTGAACAGGGGGTTCTTGGTGAGTCGCTTAAACGCGGTTTTTCAAAGAAAACCGTATCCGAATGAAATGTATGACTCGGTGGAAATTCTTCGGGGGATTCCGAGAAACCGCTCGGTCTACTTGGGTTTAATAATTGTAACGCCCAGCCTACGGGGAAGGATAATTCAATTACGGAAATTACTCGGGAGGAGCCGGGGAAGCATCGGAAGCGGTGTTAACGATATCGTCTGCTGCCTCATCGGCCCGTATCGGCGCCGTTAATTTTTTCTCTCTTTTTTTTTTTTTTTCGTTAACCCGCCTTATCCAATAAACGTTCATTGCTT